AATTCCCCCAGAACACCCCCCAAGCCCCTCCTCACCCGTGCTGAAGCCGATCAGAGCCTTCTCCCCTCCGTCGAATCCCGTGATCCACCAGGCATTGATGGGCCCCAACTTCTTGGCTCTCACCCCACCTGCCAGGCCATAAAAAAAAAAAAAAAAAAAAAGGGGACAATTCCCACCTGGGACCTGAGGAATTCCTGGGAATCCCGGGCCTGTCCTCACCGTCCAGGCAGGGGTTGTCATCGTAGATGGGTTTGACGACGCCGCTGAAGTAGAGCTCGATGTTCCTCTCGATGAGGCCGGTGTCGAAGGGACACAGATGTCCCCTCTTGTCATAAACGCTGTCGAGGGGGGACACAAAGAGAGTGGGGCACGATTCCAGAGGGGGGGATCCCTACGGGAGAGGGGAGGGGTCTCACCTGAAGGAGGTGACTTTGTGCTGGGGAAGGTCCTCGTAGCTCTCGAAGCCGTCCTCGTTGGCGTCGAAGATGGACAAACGTTCGTCCGTCAGCATCTCCGGTTCCTCCAGCTGCGTTGGGACAGGGAATAAATTTAAAAAAAAATTTTAAAAACCCCAAAATCGGGATTCATGGATAGTCCTGAGTTAGGGGAAGGAGGATTCAAATCCCTTACGGCATCATCGGGGTCCCCTTGGAAGAATTTGAGGTCGGGGTCGTCCAGGTACTGCCGGCAGTCGAGGCATTTTGGGGGGGTGGTCTGTGGGAGAGGGGAGGGACAGGCAGCTTTTCCCAAAACTTCCAAAATTATCCCAGATTTCCCATCAGAAGCAGCCCCAGCTGGTTGGTTTTGGGGAGCTGAACGAGTTGGAAATGGGTTTATTTTCCCACCCTTTGGAATAATCAATTCATCCCAAAAACTCCCCCAAATTTAGGAGTTTTAAAAGAATTAAAAAAATCCCCAAAAAAAGCTGGAATGAGGAGGAACTTACTTTAGCAGGAGCACTGATTTTAACCTGAGGGATTTCATCTTTGATTTCTGACCTGGGAGGGAAAAATGAAATCCTGGGATGAGGATGGAGCAGTGACGTCATCGGTGCCATTGTCACCATCACTGGGACACGGCTCCGGTCGGGAACGTTCCCGTTCCCTTCTCCTCACCCATCTTTGGTTTCCATTTTCATCCTTTTCTCATCTTGATCCTGGAGAAAAAGGCAAAAAAAAATGGGAAAGGAGCAGGAAAATCCAATCCCAGAATGGTCAAAATTCACCTGGATGCCACAGTTGAGCAAAATTCCAGGAAATCATCCCAAAAAATTATCAGGGAAAGGTCAGGCATGTCACCAGTGACCAAAATCCCAGGAAATCATCCTAAAAATGACCTGGGAAAGGTCAGGGATGTCACCAGTGACCAAAATCCCAGGAAATCAGCCCAAAAAATAATCTGGGAAAGGTCAGGGATGTCACAGTGACCAAAATCCCACGAAATCACCCCAAAAATGCTTTGAGAAAGGTCAGGGATTGTCACCAGTGACCAAAATCCCAGGAAATCAGCCCAAAAACGACCCAGGACAGGTCTGAGATGTCACAAGAGCCCAAAATCCCAGGAAATCAGCCCAAAAAACGACCCCAAAAATGTCACCCCCGACCTTCTCCTCCAGCTCCTCCTCCTCCTTGTCCACGTTCATCAGCTCCGGCTTCACCTCCCCGTTCACCTCCTCCGATTTCCGCTTGTTGGACCTGCGGGGCCGAGCTGGGATTGGGATTTCTGGGGCACGGGAAGGGTTTGGGATTGGGGGATGAGGAAGAGGATGAGGAGGATGAGGAGGATGAGGAGGATGAGGAGGAAGAGGAGGCACTGACCCTTTGGACAGGAGGCTGAGCACGGACGGCTGCCGGCCGGAGCTGCGCGTGACGCGGGAGCTGCCGGGAGCCTCTGCGGGAAGAGCAGGGAAATGGATCCCAAATCCCTTTCCCGAGGGCATCCCAATGGGAATTGTCACTCCACAAGGCCAGGAGACCCCAAAACCTCTGCCAGGGGATCCCAAAACCCTTCCCAAGGAGGTCTCAAAACCCCTCCTAAGGGAATCCCAAAACCCTTCCCAAGGAGACCCCAGCTCTCAATCCCGATGGAAACTGTCACAACCCCAAGGCCAGGAGACCCCAAAACCTCTGCCAGGGGATCCCAAAACCC